GAAAATACTTCCTTAAAAATTAGAATGGAGCAAATGGAAGCTAATGACTTCATGAGATATCAAGAAATTGTAAAATAAAACCAAAAGAATGAAAAAAATAGAAGATAATGTGAAATATCTCATTGGAAAAACAACTGACCTGGAAAGTAGATCCAGGAGAGATAATTTTAAAATTATTGGACTACCTGAAAGTCATGATCAAAAAAAGAGCCTAGACATCATCTTTCAAGAAACTATTAAGGAAAACTTCCCTGATGTTCTAGAACCAGAGGGTAAAATAGAAATTGAAAGAATCCACAGATCACCTCCTGAAAGAGATCCCCAAAGGAAAACTCCTAGGCATATTGTATCCAAATTCCAGAGTTCCCAGGTCAAGGAGAAAATATTGCAAGCAGCCAGAAAGAAATAATTCAAGTATTGTGCAAACACAGTCAGGATAACACAAGATTTAGCAGTTTCTACAGTAAGGGACCAGAGGGCTTGGAATATGACATTCTGGAGGTCAAAGGATCTAGGATTACAACCAAGAATCACCTACCCAGCAAAACTGAGTATAATCCTTCAGGGGAAAATGGACATTCAGTGAAATAGAGGACTTTCAAGTATTCTTGATGAAAAGACCAGAGCTGAATAGAAAATTTGACTTTCAAATACAAGACACAAGAGAAGTATGAAAAGGTAAACAGGAAAGAGAAATCATAAGGGACTTATTAAAGTTGAAATGTTTACATTCCTACAAGGAAAGACGATATTTGTAACTCATGAGTCCTTTGTCAGTATTAGGGTAGTTGGAGGGAAAAAATTAGATAGACAGACAGACAGACAGATAGATAGATAGATAGATAGATAGATAGATAGATAGATAAATGGATAGATAGACAGACAGATAGATAGATAGATAGATGGCGCAGGGTGAGTTTCGGATGAATGAGTGATACCTAAAAAATAAAATTAAGGGGTGATAGAGGATTATATTGGGAGAAGGAGAAAGGGAGAGGTAGAACGAGGTAAATTATCTCACATAAAACAGACCAGAAAAAGCTTTTACAGTGTAGGAGAAGTGGGGTAAGGTGAGAGGGAATGAGTGAATCATATTCTCATCAGAATTGGCTTAAGGAGGAAATAACATACACACTCAATTGGGTACGGAAATCTATCTTACCCTACAGGAAAATAGGGGGGAAGGGGATAACAGGAGGGGATGATAGAAGGGAGGGCAGATTGGGGGAGGGGGTAATCAGAAGGAAACACTTCTGAGAAGGGATGGGATTAAAAGAATAGAATAAATGGGGGGCGGGACAGGATGATATGACTACTATGGAAGTATTTTGCATGACTACACATGTATAACATGTATTGAGTTGTTTGCCTTCTCAATGAGGATGGGTAGGGAGGGAGGAAGGGAGAAAATTTGGAACCTAAAGTTTTAAAAACAAATGTTAAAAATTGTTTTCACATGCAACTGGGAAATAAGATATACAGGCAATGAGGTACAGAAATCTATCCTGCCCTACAGGAAAAGAGGAGGGGAAGGGGATAAGAGAAGGGGGTGGTGATAGAAGGAAGGGCAGATTAGGAGAAGAGGTATTCAGAATGCACACAGTCTTGGGGTGGGGACAGGGGGTGAGATGGGGAGAAAATGTGGAACTCAAAATCTTGTGGAAGTAAATGTTGAAAACTAAAAATAAATAAACTAATATTTTTTTTTAAAAAAGAGGTCTTCAAGTCAAAGTTGGAAGACCATTTACTGAGTATATATTTCAGGTATGGGTTTTATTAGATGGCCTTTGATATCACTTCTAAGATTGTGATTCTATAATTCTATGCCTAAAAACAGACCTTATTATCATAAGAGATTTAGAGTTAGGAGGGACCTTACAGTTATGTAGTATTATTTTTAGTAGGGCAGTTAGGTGGCACAGTGGACAGACTACCAAGCCTGGAATTGGAAAGAGTCATGTTCATGAATTTAAATCTGTTCGTAGACAGATTTAACTAGCTGTAGGACTTTGGGCAAGTCACTTAACCCTATTTGCCTCAGTTTCTTCACCTGTAAAATGAGCTGGAGAAGGAAATGGTAAACCACTCCAGTATCTTTGCCAAGAAAAGCCCAAATGGTGTCATGAAGAGTCAGACATGACTGAAATGACAACAGCAAAAAGTACAACTCCCTCATTTTACAGATAAGGACACTGAGGCCCAGAGCTGAGAACTGAATCCAGGTCCTCTAACTCCAGTGCTCTTCCTTCTACACCATTCTGGCTCCCAGTTATGATGTCCTCCAAACTGACCCTTCTTAACTTGATTATTTCTGTTTATTACACCAACCCCCTTTCATCCATCCAGGTTCACAAACTTAGAGTCATCCTCCATTCTTTCCTCTCCCTCACCTTTCATGTCCTATCAGCTACCAAATCTTATTAATTCTACTTCCACAACTTCTCTCCCATCCATTCCCTTCTCTCCACTCACATGACCATCAGTCTTGCTCAGAAACTCATTACCTCTAGCATGAACCATTGCAATAGGCTCTTGTTGGGCCTCTTTGTCTTCTGCCTCTCCTCTTTTCCATTCATTCTCAGGATAGCTGCCATAGTGATATTCCTAAAACACAGATCTGACTCTGCTGCTCCCCTACTCAAAAAGCCCCAGTGGCTCCCCATTTCCTCTAGGATAAAATATAGTCCCCTATGTTTAGTATTTAAAACCCTTCACCATCTGGCTCAAGCCTACCTTTCCATTCCTCCATGAACATTATTCTCCTTCACATAGTCTCTATTCCAACCCAAATGGTTTTCTTGCTATTCCCCATATACGACATTCCATTATGCATCTTCATACATTTTCACAGACTGATCTCACTGTCTACAATGAATTCTTCTCCCTCAGCCCCCAACTTTTGGTATCTCTCACTCCCTTCAAAACTCAGCTCTGGTGCTACTTCCTACAAAAGGCCTATCTTGATCCCCTGTTGCTAGTGGAAATTACTTTGTCTATATTTTGTGATTGTTGTTTCTCCCTTAAAGAGCATAAGCTCCTTGAAGGCAAGTAAAATTTTGCATTTGTCTTTGTATCCCTAGCATCTAATAATGCCGGACATACAATAGGTACCAAATAATGTATGTTGAACGGCAATATGATATAATAATGATAAGAGATGAGATGGTATGTGATATAATATTAAAAAATCATAGGGTTGTGTCAGAAGTGCTGAAGGCAGAGCTCAAAGGGTAGAGGGTCCTTTGTGTTGTGTAAAAGCTGCATGGGGCAATGACCTTGTCAAAAGAATCCTCAAAGGACATAAAGACAGGAATGTGAAAGGGTGGAAAAGAAAATGAGTGCCCAGGATCCTTTTAAGACTGAAACCTTAATGTGGCACAGTGGAAGGAATGCTAGACTTGGAACTGACTTGGTCAAGGAATTGGGTTTGAATTCTACCTCAGACATCCAGTAGCTGTGTGATCCTGGGCAGTCACTTAACCTCTCTGGGCTTCTAGTTGCTCAACTGTAAAATTATACGACCTCCAATGTCCTTTCCAGCTCTAAATCTATGATCCCATGAACCCATCATTCTATGAGGATCACCCAAAGGGACAATAAAAAGACACATGGTAGGAAAGAGAGACTGGAACACGTCACCATTGAGGAATTACAGAGGAGAAATATGGTAAAGGATGTCACCAGAGAAATATGTAGATAGAAAAAATAATGGGCTGATCATGTAGCAAGAATGAGGGAAAACTTGGGGACAGACTATGTGCTACATTGATATCCATGTGAGGTGAAAAGAATGCAAGGAAAGCTGCCAGCATGTTGGGTGGACTTCCTATGACTAATTTACAGGACTTAAACATGAGTCACATAGACTGGGGTTTGGTTGAGTTATAAGGAGTACCCACATAAATGATATAAGATGCATTGGATAACTGGATATTGAAGGTCTTACTTCTTGGGGTTGTTTTAAGTGTCAACAGAAATGACATAAGTAAAGCACCAGCATTTGCAAACCTTAAGGTGGAATATGAATGTCAAGTATGTGAGGATTTAGCAATTAGATGTGTTGTCTCTAGGAGTCCTTATCCCATCCCCCACCAAGATGCTAGCAAGTGATACCCTTAGAGGACAATCCTATCTCCTGCTCAGGGGTACCTCTGAGGAGTTGGGATGGCTTTCTAATGCTATCATCTCAAGCCCCCATTCTGGTGCATTCCACCCCCTAACATCAATTGCCAGTTGATATCTTTTCAATGTCATTTATACCAAAGATTAGCACCCCCATCCACTTAGCCATTTTCTCTTCTGTAACCATCAGCAATTAATGTCAATTAGCTTATACAAAGGTATATTTACTGAAAAGATAAAGCAAACCAAAGTACAAAAACGCCCCCCCTGTGCTGGGGGCATACTGTCCCTTCTGACATCTGTACCTAAGGAGAGTGTGCTCAGACTTAAAAAGTTACTACAAAGCATTGATTCCACCATGTTCACTTCTGAATGTGTTACAGTATAGGTCAATATCTTGACTGCCAGATCATTTCACTGGCTGGATCTCACAGGTTGCTATTGGGAGCTATGTTCATGCCCCACTTAATTCACTTGTAGTGACTATAATAGTCGGATCTCCCATAACTGGACAGCTGGTAGCTCCTCAGACCTTGTGAATCTCACAAGATCATAATGTCCCCAATACTCCTTCACCTAAGAATGGGAATGAATAAATACAATAGGGACAATTGTGACATTGGCAGGAGGTGACCAAGTTTAAGACCAAGCCTCCGCCATCCAGAGACCTATAACAATTTTTTTTCTCTTCATTAAAATTTCCTGGGTGAGTGGGAGGCAATTAGGCCAGTCAATACCTTTTGTATTCATACTTCGTTCAGGTCCAGCAGCCAATTAAAAAGCTTTTGTTCATCATGCAATAACCAGATTAAAAAATAGCCACAGAATACCAGCACATGCTCTCCCAAGTTATCACACACTTCCAGAAAGAGACTCACCAAGCATCCATGTGGGTCTTTTGCAGGTGCTCCAAAGGCTGGGTCTTCATTGGCCCATCCCCTATTGTGTCAGAATAGAATATTGGAGTACATAATTCAAAAGTCCAGGTCATTTTAATTTGTTTTGTTTTCCCTAGATTATCTAAGTTGCCACACTGACCCTGGCCTCTACTTAACTTCACTGCATCCTGGCCATAATCATTCAACCTCCGAAGTGGATCTAGGATCTTATCCCCCATCCATACTCATTATACAGTGGTCCAGGAATCAGCAGATGTTCCCTTTGTTTTGTGTTGTCTCTTTAGCCTGAGTGACCAGGGAGTACGGCTGGTAATCAGGGCAGCAGGGAGAGATACTAGCCAACCGATTCATCTTGCATTTAAGAAACCAAGAGAGTTGTTCAAATATGCCTGCAAAATGTTGCACTGCCTTCGCATACGTTCCCATGGCTCCCACTTCAGCCAGGGTAATGTGTTTGCATTTTATTATAGCTGAGTGTGGTCCAAAAGGCACCGTGTACATATTAGAAAGATTAATGGACTGTATCATCTCACTGTTGACGAAGAACTTCCAATTATGGGAGTCTCAGTGTGGAGTCTATAGCTAAATCAGAACTTGTTTTCTATTTCACAATTTTTTAAAAAATATTACTCGTTTTCCTAATACCAACCCAATATGCACATGATGCTTTGTAGGTCCCTAAGGATAATACCAACTTTCACCAATTCAAATGCTATCATCATCTAATAAATCAAATGACTGAGTTGTTTACTTGCCAAAGAGCACTGTAGAATGGTGGAGTTAAGGAGTCCTAGCAAAGAGAAAAAACTGAGTCTCAGTCCCCAAGGATCTTGGAGGCAATAAGATTTAGTTGAAAGAGCACTAGAAAAATCAAGAAACTCTGGCTCTAAACTGGGTAGCGCTGAGCAATTGAGTATTCCTTTAGCAAACATTAAGCACCTACTACATGCAGGGTGCTGAGCTTAACACTGGGAGAGATACAAATATAAATAAGACAGAGTCTCTGTCCTCAGGCAGCTTAGAGTCTACTAAAAATGCTGCCAAACTCAGCTGGGAATTGAAGGGTTTTCAGCTAAACCCTATTTCATAGAGTCATATTGAGATTAAGTGAATCAAGTGAGAATGAATGCTTATGACTTCTCTGAACCTTTGCTTCATTATTTGTAACATGGGAACAGTAATACCTACTCCAAGCAGCTGTGTGGCACAGTGGATAGAGCACATAGCCTGGAGTCAGGAAGACCTGAGTTCAAATACAACCTTGGACACTTGACCCTTACTAGCTGTGTGACCCTGGGCAAGTCACCTAATCTTTTTTGTCTCAGTTTCCTCATCTGCAAGATGATCTGAAGAAGGAAATGGCAAACTGCTCCAAGTATCTTTGCCAAGAAAACCTCAAACAGTGTAACAGAGTCAGATATGACTGAAATGATTGAACAATAACAAACAACAATACCTCCCCTATCATGGACAGTCAAATGTTCATGAAAGTACTCTGAAAAACAGAAAATATTATATACATGGAAGGCATTGTTCTAATAGATGATTCACAATATTTGAAAAAAAATTAATAAATGCTTATACATATTTCTACTTCTGAATGCTTTTCCCTCTACACAGTTTAAGGAGAACTTTTTTTTTTAAAGACTGTGAAATGTAATCAGGTTCTTTCTTCTCCCCCCCCCCCCCCCCCCCCCCCCCCCCCCCGCTTTCAAATAGTAATGGCCACTTCCTGCAAAGGCTTCTTCAAGCAGAATGTACTTTGTTCTTGCTGAGACAGACAAAGACAAATTAAAGGAGGAACCGACGATTTGCTACTGCCTGAGGTAGAAGGACAGAAAGTCATTATTTACTCTTCTTCCCCCCTCCCAGAAGTCCCTTAGCTATTTCCCTCCTCTGTCTCCCTCCTATCTCTGGACGACTGGAGGTAAAGGGCAACCAGCCCCCATAATGCACCTCCAACCCTACAGGGAGATATAAACGGTGACCTGCAGCAGCAACAGCTGCCTGGTCGTTCTTGCTTTGCTCCAGAAGGTACTCAAGCCCTTATCCTGAACTGTGAAAGGAAAGGAAACCTTAACACCATCTCTGAATCACCTTGCAAACCATTTTTCTCTTTGTCCTTGCTTCTAAATGAACACACAGGCTCATTTAAAGCTACTTTTAATCTGTTTTAAGCTAGGAACTAAAAGAAATGCTGAGGAAGGAAAAATATTAGATCTAGTTTATCACCAATAGCTGTGATATTCTGAGTGGATCACTAAACGAAAGAAAATTTCCAAGATTAATCAAGGTTGCTAAGGATGCTCATAGACCTAGATACTCAGAAAATTTCTCCCCTTCCATATCCCTCTTTCCCAATTTTGAATTTAATTCTATGCAGCCTGATAAGGAAAGGGAAGAAATTGGTTTTATGCAGGTAAGTACAGGATAAGGTATTATATAAACAAAAATAAAGATATGTTGCATACATGTATGTCTAGGTCCTCAGACCCAAAGTCTCCCCCCCCTTTTTTTTGTTGTTGTTAGGCAATGGCATGAAGTGACTTGCCCAGGGTCACACAGCTAGTAAGCATTATGTGTCTGAGGTCGGATTTGAACTCAAGTCCTCCTGAATCCAGGGCTGGTGCTTTATTCACTGTGCCACCTAGCTACCCCCAAAGGTTCCCTTTTAGCTCCCTAGAGAACAACAACGTATCCTCTAAACTCACAGAATGGGAAAAAAAACTAAAAAACATCTCTGTGTTCACAAAGTAGGTAAGAAGTCTCCATGTTTGTAACAACCTAACCTCTATTCTTAGGATCGTGTTGGGCAGATTGAGAAAAATTAATATCGAGGATTTTGATTGCATTTTGAATGATGGAACAGTGTCTGTACAGTATCTGAAGTTAGTAGTAATGCCTTGGTAATGTTTTTAAAACTATAATTATTTTTTCAGGTTATGTTCCCTATTAATGACTTTAAAAGTACAATTCCTAGGAAGAATAACAATTTGAATGACTTGGCACAGGACCTAGTACCAGTTGTTAATAGTAACACCCATGGCGTCCTTTACCAGAACATATTCGGACTGTAAGTTAGCCAACCCCAGTTTATAGTATCTTTGGTTAAAGGGATGGTAGGAAATGATGGCAAAGTTTGGGTCTTGACATTTTTACAAACAGATGACCTAATTGCTTTACGTAGTTTCTCCAAAGAAGAATAATAGCATCTGGCTGCTCTCATTTTTATCTGGCCTGTGCTGAATTTTCTCAGCTCTGTAGGTGGGAAGGGAGAAGGGAAGAGGAAAGAGGGATTTAAGTAGGAGGGGAAGAAAAAAGGAAAGAAAATGCTACTTAAATCTAGGAGAATTTCACTCACTAATGTAATTTTATCTGAAATATGGACTCTGCAAGCCTTGGTAAGTGAGCCTACCTCACTAGGTGCTGTGAGAATAAGTGAGGTAATATGTGAAGCCCCAGGAGTTCTGGAGAAGAGAGGCATGGGGTAAGCTCAAGGTACTGTTATTTTTACAGTTGTTATTATTCTATAAATTGTGGAAAATATGGGCGAATGAAAAGCTGAATAAGAATATTCATGAGGAAAAATTTAAAAGGCAAACAGATAATGTATGATGAAGAACACTTTTTTTTTCCAAATGAAGTTTTAACACCCTCTTAGGGGGCCCAGGGTAGCCACTGCCAGGTTCACCCACTTGTGATTTATAGCGCCACCCTACGCACCTTCGGAGGCATTAGCACCTGTTGCTTTCCAGCTGTCATTCATTTCAGTGGGATGTAAATAATTGATAACTGCGAGGGACCTGAGAAACAAACAGCACCGGAACAGGGACATACTTTATGACATCAATTACAGAGCCAATGATTTGATGAGAAAAGGAAAATATTTCAAAGTGTACTTTAATGATCTCTACCAAGAACCCCTAGTGTTCCCAATGAAATGTGGGGCTCTGGGCTCATCGACAGGGCTCATTTTTTGTTCATAGCTCTTTTTTTTCTTTTTCTCCTTTAAGGAAATGCAAGCTATAGTTGAACAGAAGAGATGGTTAATTATTTTCATGTTTGTAAGTAGCAAAGCATAGACGCTGCTTATTCTAAAAGCAAAGGAGAAAGAGCTCATTGGCCAAGATCTCCTTTGTCTGCCTACCTCCTTTCAGCAGCAGCAGCTTCTTGTAACTTATGAAGAGGAACCAGAGGGTTAAGGCCTGATACTAGTGTCTACAATACTGGTTGAGCATATAAGTTATGACACTGGAGCATTATAGCACGTTAAAAATATTATAAGCAGCACCATTAAGGCTGCTGAAAGAAAGTCAGAGTTTAAGCATTTCTGCATGAGGTACTTTATGTGGTGTTGACTTCTGAATTTATAGTTGTGAAGATGGGAACTAAGATGTTGGTTTAGCTTGAGAATTAGTTTGCTAACTACTGGGTTTCATGATTTGGAAGTCTATGGAATATGTATATATATATGCATATATGTATGTGTAAACAGATGTACACATGTATATGTATATCCATATATATCTCCGTGTATATATTATAACATTCATGTAGTCATGTATCCACTTTTATATATTTATTATTTATATATTCATATAATATTTAAATGCATATTTATATTATTGTGTTATATAATAACATTCATAAATTTATTTATGTATTTCTCTAAACCTATATTTATATATTTATTTATATTATTGTGTTACATAATAGATAATAAAAGCAGCTATTGCTTCAAAAGAAAAGACCCAAACTGTTTAGTAGATAACCAGCAATTCATCTGGGACTAAGGCATAGGGACATAATAATGCAAGTAGATGGTGGCTGGAGGGATGGAGGAATTGGTCTGGAAGGGTATAGGTTTTTAAGTGCGATTTCAAAGAGAAAAGTGATCATACATCAGAAATGGAGGCTTTTTCATTCCCATCGCTACTACAGTAGACCCCTCCCTGCTGTTATATGACTGCCTAAGTAGACAGAGTTGCATATACTTTTCAAAGCTTCTTTTTTTCGGGGGTGGGGGGCAGGGTGGTGAGA